TTCGACATTAACTCTCGATCTTCAACTGACTTCGGTGAAAGACCAGCTGAAAGCTTCAAATGGGCTCCCAAAGGTACACTAACTGGCTTCATATCCATGCTAACATGGAATCGCTGTAGAACCTTCTTTAAATAAGCCACCTGTGTCAAATAAATTCTGCCCTTCTTCTTGTCTCTGCCGATCTCCATCCCTAAAATACGCTTCGCCTCGCCCAAGTCCTTCATCTCAAACTCATTTGAAAGCTGAACTTTCAACTCATCTATAGCCGACCTGGAACTAGAGGTAACCAACATGTCATCGACATAGAGCAACAAATAGATGTACGCACCTCCTTTCAACTTGTAAAAATATACGTAAGGATCAAACTGGCTCCGAGTGTACGAATGACCAAGCATAAAACCATCAAATCGCCTATACCACTGTCGAGGAGACTGCTTCAAACCGTATAGCGATTTCTTTAATCTGCAAACCAACTTATCTTTCCCTGCAGCTCGGAATCCCAATGGCTGAGTCATATATATTTCTTTATCAAGATCACCATGAAGAAATGCCGTCTTCACATCCAGCTGATCTAACTCCAAACCATATTGTGCCACCAAAGCTAGCAAAATCTGAATCGAAGAGTGCTTCACCACCTAAGAGAAAACCTCATTATAGTCAATACCTTCCTCCTGTGTATAGCCTTTCGCAACTAACCTAGCTTTGAACCTCAATGGAGTGCCCTCAATACCCTCCTTCTTCGTGTATACCCACTTGCAACCAATTGTCTTCCGCCCCTTTGGAAGCTCAACAAGCTCCCATGTATTGTTCTTATGAAGAGACTCCATCTCCTCCTGCATAGCCACCTGCCACGAATCAGCCTCCGAACTCTGCTCGGCCTCTCTGAATGTAGTAGGCACCATCTCATCGATACTCTCCACCAAAAGTGCATACGCAACTGTGTCAGTATACCGTGCTGGCATCTGTATGTTTCTCCTCTGTCTCCAAACTGCAATCGAATCCTGAACCTGAGCGGTCGGTCCCTGGTCCTGCATAACTGTACTCGTATCCTCCGTGTCACCGTCGTGCTCGCTTGGCGTCACCTCAGTCGGTACTCTAATGGATACTGTACCATCTGGACAATGTGGAGTTGCATCGATCTCCACCACCTGTGATATCTCCTCCGTCGGGTCACTCTCCACCTGATGAGAGCTGGGAAGCTTCAAGATAGAAGCCTCATCGAATGTGACGTCCCTACTCAGCACAATCTTCTTATCCACTGAATCCCAAAGCTTGTATCCCTTGACACCATGCTTGAATCCTACAAATATGGCCTTCCTAGCTCGAGGTTCCAATTTATCAGTTCTAACATGATAATATGCAGGGCACCCAAATATCTTGAGATGGTCATAGTCATGTGCTGTCTTTCCCGACCACATCTCCATAGGGGTTTCCCCTCAATCGCAGATGAAGACAGCCTATTAATGAGGTGGCTCGCATATGTAAGTGCCTCAACCCAAAAGATCTTCTCCAAACCACTCTGCGACAATAAGCATCGGATCTTCTCCAGTAAAGACCGATTCAACCTCTTTACCACCCTATTTTGTTGCGGTGTATGACTAACTGTGAAGTGCCTCTCTATGCCCTCGTCTCGACATAGCTGCAGAAAGGGGTCTGAAGTATATTCACCACCGTTGTCGGATCGCAACGTCTTGATCTTTCTCCCAGTCTACAGTTCCAATCTCTTCTTCCACTCCACGAATATATCTAGGACTTCACTCTTCTTCGTTATGGTGTACACCCAATAACGCCTAGAATAGTCATCAACGAAAGTGACGAACCAATATCGACCACCAAATGATGCAGTCTTGGTGGGACCCCAAACATCTGTGTGCACGTAGTCCAAGATGCCCCTCGTCTGATGAATGGCAGTCCCGAACTTCACCTTCGTCTTCTTACTAAGAACACAGTGCTCACAGAACTTAATCTTCCCACTCTTGGCTCCCTTTAATAGCCCCTGCTTGCACAATGCCTGCAGTGACTTTTAACCTGTGTGCCCCAATCTATAGTGCTAAAGTCTGCTCATGTCCGCTTCTGAAATAGCCGAAGCAACTTAGCCAATCTCGGTGCTTCCCTTCAGATAATACAAATTCTGATTGTGGGCTCCCTTCATCACCACCAATGATCCCTTAGTAACCTTCGCTACAGCGTTTTCGAAAGTCACCTTGAATCCCTTCGCTTCCAAAGCTCCGACTGAGATAAGATTCTTCTTCAGCTAAGGAACGAATCTCACCTCCTTCAATGCATGAACTACTCCATCGTGCATCCTAATCCGCACAGTACCTATCCCACAAATGCCACAGGATTGATCATTTCCCATGACAACAACATCCCCGTCGACTTTCTCAAAAGATGCAAACCAGTCTCACCTAGGGGTCACATGATAAGTAACACCGGAATCAAGCATCTAATCTAATACATCCACATGGTTTACCTCCGGAGTAATCAGTAGAGAAAAGCACAAATCATCGGAATCATCGCCTTTCGCAACGTTCACTTCATTGGCCTTCGGGCCCTTTTTCTTACCATTCTCCTTCTTCTTGAGCTTCGGGCAGTCTCTCTTCCAATGTCCCTGCTCCTTGCAGAATGCACATTGATTCTTTGCTAATTGGTGACGGCTTCTTGACTTTGACCTTCCTCTATTACCACCTTTCGGATATGGCCTTCTACCTCTCGTAAACAAGGCCTCGCCTGAAGTGCTAGCACGGGAAGTCTCCTTGTCTTTTCTCTTCAAATCGTAATTGGTCAATGCGTTAGTCACTTCACTATAGCTGATAGAAGATCTCCCGTTCAACAAAGTGAGCACGAATGTATCATTCTCCTCATCCGGTAAGGAGCCCAACAAAATAATCGTCTTGTACTCATCCGATATCTTCTCATCAATATTCACCAAGTCCGACAACAACTTAGTGTAGTTGTTCACATGAGCCGCTAGCGAGGTGTCTCTGGACATCTGAAATCTGAAGAGTCTTCGCAGCAAGTGCAACCTATTCTCAACACTCTTTGTGAGATACTTATTATTGAGAATTTTTCACATCTTCATTGCAGACGTTACCTCAATCACATCATATTTCAGTTCCTGTTCCAAACAAGACCTGATCACCCCACACGCATTCCTATTCATCTTCTCTCATACCGCCTCTTCATATTTAGGTGGCCTTTCGTGGACCATAATGGTCTCTTCCAAATTCTGAGCATTGAGCGCATCCTGTACGTTGCTCATCCATAAATCAAAGTTGATTTTACCGTCATACTTCACCACACTAATCTTAGTATTCTGAAAACCAACTTGTATTGTACTCGCCATCGATTTGCTGCTTTTACCTTCTTCTCCCATTACGAACTAACTCCAAATTGTAGAGAAAAAAAAAATTTGATAGAAATTAGGAACCACCCAACTGAACCCTAGATCGGATTCCAAATAGATCTCCTATCCACATGAGGAAAGCGAAATCTCCAACGGAAACTCCTAATGCTATCTCTAGCGAAGCCTAGAACTCCAAAAACCAAGCTTCCAACTGAATCTTCCTCCACCTAATCCAAAACACCCTAGATCTGAAATCTGGGCTCTGATACCACTTGTTGCGCGCAGCGGAAATTTCGGCAGCACAACAAGAGAGTCAGATCGCAATAAGAATTCCTGTCTCACCTAGGAAACAAGAATCTGAAGCAAATATCTCAACAAAGTGAGATATCGGCTCTTTCTCTTATCAGTTCTAGGACTGACCTGTCGAGGGATCCTAAAAAGCTATTACAAATCACACAAAAGCAATACAACCAATTTTTACGTGGTTCGACAAATTGCATACGTCCACGGAGCAAGGAGGGGGAGAGATCTACTAATAGAGGGAGAGAATACAATTAGGATTTACAATCATTCAATCTAAACCCTCACACAAACTCTCAGATCCCTCACACAAATATCTCTCTACAAAAGGATGCACAAACCAAAGAGCAGCCGCCAAAACCCAAAGCTACTGTTGCACACCTCTGCCTGCGGTCTTCTGCCTTGCACCTCTGCCGAAAACAAACCAAAGCCGAAGAAACACTCGCAGCCGCAATCTTCACAAAAAAAATCTCCTGTGCCCTTCCCGAAAAATACCCTAGCATGGGTATTTATATTGCAGTTCATGAGCCGCATCCGCCTCGTTCACGTGTTCACGTGAACACGGAAACAACTCGTTCGTGGCTAGGTGGACCCCCACAACGAAATCGCGTTCTCAACTTCGTGCGTTCACGTGGGTGTTGCTTTTCTTGATCGTGGCCCACCACTTGCGTTCACAGCATTCTCATTGTTGATAGCAGTAAATAAAATGGTCAATTACTTCAGACTTTGGTTGACCTCTTCTTTCTCCTTTTGAGCTGCTTCTTCAAGATTATAGCCATACACTCTAAGACATTGCAACATCAATGACATTGGCCTCCTAGAGAGTTTGCAAATCTAGAAGGAGTTCCACTTGGTCGATCATTCTCCGATAAGGCTCAAAGGCTTTGGTTCTAGTAGCTGATAAAAGAATGTCGAGCTGACCTTGCAACGAACATTTGGTATGGTGGATATACCCTTACCATCAGGCAGAGGCCTCTCAAAATTTTAACTGAATAACTTCACTAGGCCCTCAATCAAAATCTCACTCTTTGATTTAACTAAATCATTAAAGTTTGGAGATGAAAGGATTTTGATCATTGCTTAACTTAATGAGCTGGCCTCAGTAGCAATGGCTAAGGCCTAGTTTTTGGCAAGAGAGACAGTGATGCCATCAAAGTTGGCATAAAGAATGAAGCAAGCAAAGCTGACATACTTGAGATATCAATGAGAGTAGGCGAAGCCTGAGTTGGCACAACTAAGGCTCAGAAGGCCAAACGACCAACACCGTCATTGTAGCCGCGATTGCTGGCACATCACTAGGCGATGGCCACTTTAGTGTCGACTAACTTCTTAGCTACAGATGAAGCCCACTCTCCTATTCAACTTTAGGTTTAGGTTTGGCCTCAGCTCTTAGTCCAGCTTCCTCAAGGAAATAAAAAGTTGTCAAATCCCTAGCAGGTTCAACAATGGGAGAAGGCATAGAAGTCGTAGTTGTAATGACTTTCGGTTCGGGTTCAATATCTACAGAAGGAAAATAGATGAAGCATTATGTATTAAACTGAAAAGACTACATCATTCTTGTAGATGATATCATACCTAAGAAGTGAGAAGATCTGCCAGTATCAATTCCATGACCCAATTCTTCATCGTCGGTGATATAAGTGTCAGTGTCATAATCAACACTCTCTTCTTCCTTTGAATCTGTCCGATCAACCAATACAAATCTTTTTTCTGCAAACAAAAAGCACATGTCATTAGAACGCATATCCATTGAAGCAAAATAATTGCAAATAAGGAAATTTACCCAAAGCAGTCGTATACTCAGACACTGATCCATGAGTTATGGCCTCAGGAGGTTTCTCCTTCACAGGCAACTCCAAGCAGGGCACTTGGGGTATTTTTAGTGGTGAGGAAATTTTCGTGGTCTCTTCCTATGGATATCTCCTCTTGACACATATCATGGTGAGCTGATGACTGTTGTATGCTAATGCCAACGGGCCTATGCTATGGTGATCTTTTGTTGGGTTTGTTCGAATCATTATCAAAATCTCCTTCTCACCCTACCTCTACAAGATATTCATGGATTTCAGGCACTCTACTCTTGGATCCTTTCCTAAAAGCTTCTTATACTTCTAAATGATCCATTTTACTCTAGTCTTGTTGACCTTAAACTGCGAGCTGTTGATAGTCACCATGCTATAACAGTTAGGGGTTTTGTATGGTAAGATAAACTTAGCATGAGTACATCCAATGGCAAAGTGGTACCAAATGTGGGTTCCATCTACTAGACTCCTCAAACATAGCAATCTGGTGTTTAGATTACCAATATAATGTTGGTCATACCCAAACTGTCACGCAAAATGGCATGGAAGATAGGGCTCAATGTAGCACTCGTTCCCATTTACACGAGCGATGAGATGCATATGTCTGATATTCACCAATTAGTTGAAACAAGTACTGATTAAATAGGTAAAACCCCTCAACTCCAGGCTGTCTTCAAAGTCATCATCAAATTTAGACCCGATGATGTCGAGGAAGCAATAGTAGAAGCACTACTGGTCTTTATTCCACACAATTTGGTAGATCCACACAACATACTTAACGTTCCACTTTGAGGTTTCATATCATTATAGCAATGAGACCCCTCCTCATGTCTAGTAGTGGTTAACATAAGAGAGGAGCAATCAAGTGTATATCGTTCTATCAGATAGGTATATGGTAGCTTTACCTTGAATTAGGCACCTCCTCCCTTGGACAACCCTTCTTTTGGTTCAAATATTTTGTCACCAACTCCTTTAATCTGTGATGAATGTAGCTAATCATAGCCGGGAGTAAGGCTAAGTTATACCCATGAGCAAGTAATATCGTTGGCTACAGAACCTTGGGGAGATGCAATCCTTTGGTCGAGATGACACAATACATCCTTTTAACCAAATTAAAAGGAAACCTACGAGCAAAGCCTGATTAGAAATAGGCTCTTCAGTCTAGTCGTGCAAACTCTCAAACATGTCCATGCTTTTAGCCCACACCTGTCTGAGTCGATAGTTTGGATTATCGGACCATGATTGAAAATTTGAATCTCTACTTCAAGACCAGAGCTCAATGGGATAGGCTCCACCCTTCCCTTCTTGCTCACAATCTTGAACACATATTCAATGCAAGGAACACAAGCAACATTAGGGCCATGGACTACACCCGTAATTGTTTGATGGAAAATATGGATGTGCTAGACTAGATACCAAAATGTCTCGACAACATGAGTGTAACGATCCATATTTCCCAGCTCCTCAGTTATGGGAAAGTTTCTTCATATGGTCGCTCCCTCATCGGTATGTTGGTATTAATATTATATAGCTCAAGAATGATGTATAGCACTAGTGCACAGATCTCAATACCATGTTGAGAAGCTTGCATCACTAAATAGAGCCCTAGTTCCATTAATCTATCTTCAAAAGTGGTGAGGACATAGTCAACAATTCTAGCTCTCCCCATTGATTCAGTAACCCTTATCCACCTAGGGACCTGGTATCCTCCTCAGGTATTGCCCATTGATCTCAAAAAATTTGTTGTCAAATACATTTGGAAACACTAAAATCTCATTTGCCAGAGCATTCTCCTTTACGGACCCTTGAAGAAGACTAACAACATTGAGATCGTAACATCCTTCTTTACAAGAAAGAGAAAATTTTGATTTGTTTTTCATTTTTCATAAGAAAATAAAAAAAGAAGGATAATTTTTTAAAAAATAAAGAAAAAGCAAGAAAAAGCAAAAAAAAATTAAGAAAAAGAAATGTACACACAACAAGTTATAGAATATGCCTGAAGCTTATCCTTAGGAGAGGATTTGCTGAAACAATTAGTTATGCAAGTTGTGTCATTGTAACAAGTCCTCGCTTGTATAATGGTACCATCTTTGGATGTATCAACAACTTCTCATTATATTCTTCTTCTTTATTTGGCTAAGGAATAGCTTCTTGTCTTCTGAGTATACCTTGAGCAACCAAAATCGATGTTACCTTGCTCCTTAGCCTCCTTGCACACTTATAGAAATATAGAATGGTATGACCTAAGTATCCACATAGGTCAACGTTGGTTAGCAATTGCACCTTTAGATACCCAAATCTACTTAACAGTTTTAACTATATATTGCATTCAACAGTTCATTGAGATATGACTCATTCTACAACATAGGTGTATATAGTAAAAGATGCATTTGACATGGGCGGAAATAGAGTTAAATTATTTCCTCTTACAAATGAAGATTAAAACTTTTTATATTTTTTTGAATATGAATAACCAAGTTTAGTTTTAATTTTTGCAAATCATTGATCGGAAAGAACCATGTTTAAACCTTTATAACCCGGAGAAAAAATTTCCATAGCCTTTTCCAAATCAATATTTTTAGACTTTAATTATTCATCTTCAGAAACTATCGTAGTGCACTGAATTTCAAACTTTCTTTGTTTAGAAGACAATTCACATGAAAACTCATTTACCCGAGCAGTTAATTTTTTTATTTTCACAAATTTTATTAGTTAATTGCTAGGATAAATCACAATTCATGTCTCTATACATGGAATAGTGCATGCGCTCAAAAGAGACATTTTCACTTACATTGTTAGATGTATTAAACTCTAAAGATTTTTAATTTTATCATTCAACAATTTATTATCTTTCTTTAAAGTTGAATTCACCTTTTTAACAATGTTATACTTTTAAGCAAGTTTTAAAATATAAATCATCATATGTAAGGCACACCTCACCGGAGCTCTCCTATTCTGTATCATCTGGATTTCTATTTTTAGCCATGAGACAAATGTGTGCTCTTCTGTTATCATCGCTCGAGCTACTCTCCAACTTGTCCCATATAGTTACTATAGAACTTTTGCCCTTCCTTGTAGTCCTTTTTACTCAGTGAGCAATTCTTCCTTAGATGACCGAATTTCCTGCATCACAAATAAGTTAGTTCGGTATCAGAATCACTAGAACTATATGTATTTACATTGCTTGTATAGTGACTCTATTTATTTTGCAGGAATTTTGACCCCTCTTTGATTTGAGAAAGAATTTGAATCTTTTTAAAATTTGATCTTCCTCGTGATCATTCTCACTCTTAAAACTTGAGCTTGATTCTTTCTTCTTCTTAGATTGGAATTTCTCTTTTTTGGCCTTTAGAGTTAACAACTTCTTCTTGGAATCAACTTCAGAAGCATCATGTCTATCTTTCAATCGAACCTTATATGTGAGAAGATTATCTACAAGATCTTCTGGAGTAAAGTCAGAAAAATTTTACAATTCTTCAATAACTGTTACCTTAGGTCCCCAATCTCTAGATAAAGAATAGAGTATTTTTCTACAAAGCTTTTTGTTATAAAACTCTTTTCCCAAAGCTTTTGGTTTGTTCACAGTATCAATAAATCATGTGAACATATATTGAGTGCTTTCTGAGGCCTTCATCTTGAAATTTTCATATTTGCTGAAAAACATTGTGAGTTTTGCCTCCTTTACATGTGATATTTTTTCATGTATAACCTCTAGCAATTTTCAAATATCCTGCGTAATAGTACAATTTAAACTATGATTAAACTTTTAGCAATTAAGGAACAATAGAGAGCATTCATGGGTTTAACACTCAATGAATAAATATGTTTGTCCTGTGGTGACTGTTGGACCCTAGAGGGGGGTGATTAGGGTCTTATGCTAATCTAATCCGATTTAAATACCAATTAAAATATATTTTTCTAGCTAACCGAAAACTTTACAATCAACACACTATTGTAATCCCACTCTACACCCACTAAGTGTTGGACCTAGCCGTTTCTCCCTCAAGTGCTCGGTTACAACCTCTCCCTAGGCACGTCAACCGACGCCACTCCTCTTGGGACGATCCCCGACTCTCACCACACACTCCTCACTCGGTGTACAAGTGTATTACAAAGTGATTCTCATGATAAGCACAAATTAACAAATGATTGTTCTCTCTAACAATGTGAGAACTCAATTAAGCTCACTCTCAATGTCACAAACTCACAATCCTAAATTATACTATGAAAGTAAATACAATAAGCTCAATAGGTTGTGTGTGAACAAAGAGTATCAATAAACTAGCTTTAATAGAAATGATAATTAACAAATAATTATAAGTGAAAGCTAGAGTTGAGTTTAGGAAAACTTCTCTAGATCAAGATGGAGAGATGGAGATTTGAGGCCCAAACGAGAAGATAATCTCCTCCACTTGAGAAAGCTAAAACTGCTTTAAACTAAACCCTTAAACAAGCTTAAACAAGCTTAAACTCTTTTTAAAACCCTTATTTAAAAACTTCTTTAAAACATTCTTAATTGCTTAAGAAGAGATCAGCAATGGGGTATTTATACCCTCTCACAACTCAGCCAAAAAACCCCAAGCAAAAAGACAAAAAGTCCCCAGAAGACAGCTCAGAAAAATAGCCGTTAGTGTCTAACGGATCTATTGTCGGTCGACCGGTGCGGTCGACCGATGGAGCTTTCGGTCGACCGGACCGGTCGACCGACCAACTCTCTATCGCATGGTGAGAAATGAACAAATGATCGGTCGACCAAGAAACGATCTGGACCATCGTCGGTCGACCGGTGCGGTCGACCGATGGAGCTTTCGGTCGACCGGACCGGTCGACCGACCAACTCTCTATCGCATGGTGAGAAATGAACAAATGATCGGTTGACCGGTGCGGTCGACCGAATACTGATACTACTGAAAAACAGTTTTAAACAGATTTTTGACTTTTGGAAAAAATGTAAAACTTTGGGGAATGATTGTAGACATGATAATAAACATGCTACAGTGACTGGTTATCAGAAAGGACCTCCCAAATGAAAAATATCATCATTTTATAAAATAGTCCAAAACATGAAAATATGAGATACTTGAATTTTGATGTTTTGACATAAACCA